TTTATATAAGTCCAAAAAAATTCTTCCGCCTTTTGAATCAATTTTGTCTCTCTTTTATTGCAGCTTATCATCCCCTATACTAAGATTTACTACAAAACCAGTAACTTGATTTGAGATCTCCCTGTCAACCTCTTAAGCCAAAAAAATGTAATCTTTCTCGATCAAATCAGTTGATTATGGTAAAATTGTATTTCTTAGGAACCGTACATGCATCTTTTGATGCATAGGATTCAAAAAATTGTGAAAAAAAAACCAATATATTGATTCCAGTTCCTTTTCTTTTTTTTTTTTTTATGGCAGGGTCTTTCAAACTTTCAATGAAAGAACTTTTTTATATTGGAGAAATTTAAAATTTTATCGAATAAATTATGTGTAAAAAGGCACTAATCTTAATTTAATTTTAATTAAAAATCTATCCTAATTAGGAGCCCAATTAAAAACAAAAATAATAAAATAATAAAATAATAGGATGAAATGGAAAAGTGGCTTATAACGCGTATAAACAGTGGAATTTTGGGTCCGAAAGTGGGTGGATTTTAGAGTCAAAATGGTCTTAACCATGAATCACGTCGACTGTTTGAAAGGAGTTTTTCACGCCGTTTAAAAAGCTGCGTGTTCGGACTTTTGTTTAATCCCTTTCGCTTGAAATCTTGACGCTCGTTGGTTTTAATTTTTGACGATCAATCCGCCCCACTAACCTCACCTTCGCACTCCATTTCAAACATATCGTTTCAAAGATACATGTTTTATGGTCATTAAATATCAAAGTCACAGGCAAAAAAACTGTCCATGCGGCAGAAATTTTAAAATTTTATTTAAAATAGAATGTTAAAACCACGTGAATAAATCATATTTAAAGAGGTAATAATCTTAATTTAATTTTAATTAAAAATCTATCCTAATTAGGAGTCTAATTAAAAAAGAAAAATAATAAAATAATAGAAAAAAGGATAAAATAGAAAAGTGGCTTTATAACGTGTATAAACAGTACAGTTTTGGGTCCGAAAGTGGGTGCGTTTTAGGATGTATCACGTTGATGTGTTTGAAAAGAGCTTTTCACACCATTTTAAAAGGGGCCTATTCAGATTTTTGTTTTATCTCAGACCGTTCGTTTGAATTTTTGAGGTTCATTCGTTTGAATTTTTGACGATCAATCCGCTCCACAGATCCTTTTCTCACACACCAACCTCAACTTCGCCCTCCATTTCAAACGTGTAGGTTCAAAGGTATCTGCTTTATGGTCATGAAATATCAACTAAGAGCTTTTCTCTTTCAAGGATCGTGCTCAAGATGAATAAAGGTTCACTAAAAGTCCAAGTTTTGAATATTGTGGTTTGGTTTAATTTCATATAAATTATGATATAGTTTGGTTTGGTTATTATGCTTAAGACAGAAAAAAAAAATCACTGAAAGTCTAAGTTTTGAAAATTATAATTTGGTTTCGTTTCATATAAATTACAGTTTGATTTGGTTCGGTTTTAATTAGATTTTTTTTTATCACAATTTAGTTGGTGATTTGATTATTAAATCAAATCATATAAATAGAATCAAACTGTAAATTATGTTTGAAATTGTAATTTAATTCTTTTACTTTCTTTTCCTTTTTGTTTTGATCCCTCCACTTCCTTTTTTTCTGTCGTTTTAGTTATAGTCTCTTTTATTTTATTTTTTTTCTATTTTTTTATGGTCACACAAGCTTCCGATTCTTTCAAATAATTATCTAATTTAAGTTATTACATATCCAATCAATATTTAATTTCTTGAATTTATTGAATTTTTTTGGCACCCTTATTTTTTATTATTAAATTTAATTGATTATATTGCAAAAATTACAATTATGTAAGGATAGAGAAATTGATAGAAAGTTTGGTAAATTTAATTTATAAACCATAGTTTCAAATTGAACCAAATTATGAATCATAATTTAGTTTAGTTTGGTTCTTGATGGTTCATGATTTATTTTAGATTTAAAAATTGTAAATTATAAGTTATGATTTGATTTAAATCTGAACCACTAACACCTCTACCTAGGGTTGTTCACGGTTCATGAATCAATTTAAACTAAAACCAAACTCCAGGCTCCGATCTTGGAAAAATATGATTCGAAACCAAAACCTTAGAGGTTAGTCTATTATGGTTTTGGTCCTTTACGATTTTTGTCTGGTTCACGATTCTAGTTCCTCAAAGTTCTAGTCCAAGGCAATTCACAGTATTGACCTGGGCTAGTTCATGATTCTGATTCTAGTTCGCTTACAGTTCGTTGTGATTTAGTTCTGTTCCGGCTTTATTTTACCCAAAAAATTTAGATATTAACTTATAAATATTTTTGGGTTATCAAAAATTTTCAAATATTATAAATATCTTTCAAATGCTAAAAAAATATATAGGATTTAAATTTAATTATATATCAATCGAGTTGCATGCGTATCTTCTTGAGGTTTAGAAAAATTAAAATTTACATAATTCTCTTACCTTAATTAGTGTATCTTCTTACATTTTATCTTAGTCATTACTATCTTCAGTTCTGGTTATTGTTTCTTTATCCTCCAAATATAAATTTTATAAGTTTTCTTAATCTTCACTATTTTCAAATATGAATTTTATAATCTTTATTAATTAATGTGTTTAAAAATAAATTTATCTAAAAATAAGTTTTTTTATATTTAAAAGTAGATTGTATAAATTCACGTACAAAAAAATAAGTAAAAGTCATTTTTCTATATCTAAAAAAAAGAAAAAAATAAATTTTCATGATTCACTTATAATTCTGATTCACGATTCTTGTTCATGGTTCAATTTTAACAGTTCTTTTACGTTTCCAGTTTATGGTTCAAATATGACTTAATTAACACAATTCTATTGAATTTTAGTTTATTAGATCTTAAATGGTTTCGATTTTGGTTCCAAAAAAATATAAACTTTAGCTAGATTATAAAACTTTATAATTCAAAACTAGAGTAGACTAAAAATTAACGGTCTATTTTAGTTCAATATTTTGAGGTCCAATCTGAACTTGTTCACAGTTCGGACTGGACTTGTGAACAAGCCAACCCTACCGCTGGTGTGCTGGTTTTAGAAAGAATCATTTGATTCATGCTATCGAAGTCTAGAAAATGGGCTTTCAAAAAAAAAATTGAAGAAGAAAGCCTGTAGAGAAAGCTTACAGTTTACAAAATTGTCTAAGTGTTGGGCTTTCTTTACGTCTAATTGGGCTTTGTAGCCCGTGAACTCTCCAGTTTGGTTTTTTTGCCCAAATTTGTTTTCCTTTTCTTTTGGAATAAATGTTGTTACCGATATTTTATAATCTACTAGTTCCCCATGCTTGCTAATTTCATTTCCGAATAATTCACTATTAGTTCTAGAGAAGGAGGTCAAGATTATAACTTTTTTTCCCTAAAAATATAAATTTACCAGCTTTTACATTTGGCACAGTAAAAAGTTAAAAACTTTTAAAAGAAAAAAGATCCTAGTAAAAACGGGAAGATATTAATATTCTGGTTGGCATCCGGGACAGGTGTCCAACCCAGAAACGTAAATACGTGTGCTTGCTAAATAAAAAAGTAGCTGTTCTCAAATATATTTATAAAATAATTTAAAATAAAATTTTTATCTTTTTTTACACAAAAATAGAATTTAAGGGCTATCCCAATAATTAGCTTTTCTTTTTCCCCATTGATCGGTCCACTTGAATAATAAATAAATAAAAATAACTAAGCAGAGAGAGAGTGTTTACGTATACGAGAATAATAAATCATATCTGGGATTTGCTACATCGTCACAATGCGGTTTAAAAATCAAATTTTGGCTTGGTGGATGTTACTAAGGTGACTGCGTGCTTATCAAAGAGACTGTTCTAACCCCCAGTTTGCGACCTGAAACTTGAATGTAAATTTGAGGAAGATGGTTGAGCCGTGACAATGACCGATAGATTTTTCCTATTTTACTTTGGATTTTTCTTATTCTTTTTTTTTTTTTTTTGGGTTGGAACAAAACCGAACTGAAAAGCGTAATTGAGAAAAAAGCCGTCCCTGTTGCAGTGAGATTTAGTCATACGAAGCACCTCGTCCATGTGGTCTCACCAGCACCAAACACTCCATTGCCAACAAAGCGAACCGCGATTGGTGGCAGTTGAACATCCCTTACTCTCACTTTTGTTGTCTTCCCCAATACCGCTGAAGTCAATTGCATTGCATGCCCCCATTACGCAGCAGTGAGAGCAAGAGAGATTTCGAGAGAGAAGCGTCGGTTGGGACTAGAAGAGAAAGCATAGGGATACGCCAGATCATCGATAATACAGTTGTGCACGCGACTGCCTCCTTCCATTTCAAGATCGTTGCCTACTATTTCGCTTTCCTCCGCCTTCAAAATCTCTATTCTCAAACTCACCTTTCAACAATCTCTCTGAATAAATTTTTCTCAAATACTCAATACCCCCCCTCCACCTCTCTCTGTATTTCAATAAACTTCTAAATCCATCAGCTCCCGAGAATCTAGAACAAAGATTGAGTTGCATCACTGACCCCTTGTGTAAGCATTCCGTCTTTCTGTTTGCCGTTTTCTTTCTTTATTTGACCTATTTTGGTGCGATTAATATAACTTTGAGGACTGATTCCCTTACTAGTCCTTCATGTGTTGAACACAAACAAACACATGTGGATGTGGCTTCTTTCTGATGTGTTACAGCGAAGGGCACCCATTTTATGTATCAAAAAAATCAATCTATGGCACGTGCCTAGGAGCTGAAAGAATTGGCTTCTACTGCGTCTGACCTGGGAGCTCTTTACTGGGTTAATTGAATGTCTTCTATAACTTGATTAATTAGTAAGCAGAGTTCGTTTTTCCCAAAAAGATGCATTTTCCCTCTCTCGGTGTAACATGGGATTGTGTGTGAGAATTAAGTAATTATCATGCCGAAATGTTGATGTTCTGATGGTTTGGTTTTTCTTTTCACTAAATTGTCAGTATATTAACCAGGTGTGCAGAATCTTAAATGGCGGCAGTATTAGCTAGCCATAGCTGTTACTGCCGTGATGTACCCCTGATGAATCATGGAAGGGTGGTTGAAAACCTCTGTTTCTCAAGCTCAATCTCAATCCAGCAACTCCAAAAATATAATTCGGACAGTAGGCCTAAATTCTTCTGGTTTCAAGTCAAAATGCAACATACTGGATCTCCTACCAAATTGGGTTCTAATGGCAGACCGATTAAAATGGTCCCTACAAGTGAGGTGATGAAAAGGAGAACTCCCCCTCCAGTTGATAAAAACAATGACGGTGAATGGTTCGACACAGGTTGTGAATGGTTCCACACGGGTTGTGAATGGAGCAAGCATTGTTAAGAGAGGTAAGGCCTCAGCCTTGGTTAAGACCACAGAAGTAAGGGGCTCTGAAGGTCTACCTCCAATTGAAGACCTAAAAGTTCTTCCCTTGGACGAAGGCTTCAGTTGGGGCCAATGAGAATTATAGTTCCGTTCAAAGAAGCATAGACGTGTGGTCTTTTGTGCTTTCTCTGCGTGTCCGTGTTCTCCTTGACAATGCAAAATGGGCATATATTGGAGGCTTCACAGAAGATGAGCAGGTGAATTTGACAGTTTGAAAAGGCTGTTTTTTGATGTTACCAGATTGATTTGAAACATGATTCTGACATGGAAACATCCTCTTCATTTGCTGCATTTGCTAAGTAGGCCTGTTTTGCAACCTAGCTTTTTAGATTTATGTGTTTGACTTTTAAGCTTATAACTCCCAGAAGCCAGGACATTGTTGCTTCTTGGCTGATGCCCATCTAGGCTTATTATACTTAATAGCACAACGCATAAGCCTAAAAGGCTAAACAACCAAACATGGCCTCACTTTCTTTTTTCTGTAGATTTTTTATCATCAAGTGTTTGTTAATTTGCACTATTGTATTCAGAAAAGCAGAAGACGAAAAACTGCCTCATGGTTACGAGAGCGTGTATTGCAGCTTGGACCAACTTTTATTAAACTTGGACAGTTATCCTCAACCAGATCCGATCTTTTTCCCCGTGAATTTGTGGATGAGCTTGCCAAGTTGCAGGTACTTCTACACCTCTCCTTGTTTATCCTTTAGCACTAAACAAAAACTTAAAAATTAAAAATTTAACTTCACATTAATTTCTGGAAGACAGGCACTTTTGGTGGTTATGTTCATACATGAAAACATAATCTAGTTCAGTCTGTAGAAATTACTTGATATGTGATACAGGACAGAGTCCCTGCATTCTCGCCAAAGAAGGCAAAAGACTTAATCGCTAAGGAACTAGGAGCTCCAGTTGAGATATTATTTAAAGAATTTGAAGATCGCCCAATTGCTGCAGCTAGCCTTGGTCAGGTGTTTGCTCTGTGCATATGTAGTTTAACAGTTTCATTCTGAAGTCACATTTTGTGTATCTATATCACTTATTTGTTGTTGTTTAGGTCCCAATATACGTAGCCATCTTCCACCATATTTGATACTAGGATCATCCATTTTTAAGTTCATTTTGATAGTAGAAAATTTTCTAGCCTTTTACCCGTTCCAATATGTCCTGTTTAATTCTAGTATATTCCAAAAGAATTACCTCTACTATACACATATTTTTCTCCCCTTCTACACATATATCTATACCCTATGGTTTAGGCTATTGGGGTGCCTGGACATACCCATATGCAACGACTATACAAAGTCCTAGTTAACATGGAGGCAAAATTGACTTTGTTTTTTTCTCTTTGCTTAGTATTTTCCTTTTTACTTCTGTTAATTTATGTAATTAGCTCTTTTGAAGAATTCATCCTTTAGGTACATCGGGCTATCTTACATAATGGAGAGAAAGTTGTTGTCAAAATTCAAAGACCTGGCCTCAAGAAACTTTTTGATATAGATTTGAGTAAGTACAGCACCATGTAAAACCTCCTATCGTTTCTGCTCTTTAATTGTTTGTGATATCAAAAACATATTTTTTTCTTTGTTTCATATAGTTTGGTTATTTCCCTCATTTATGCACCTTGTTTTCAGGAAATTTAAAGCTTATTGCCGAATATTTTCAGAATAGTGAAACACTTGGTGGTCCAACAAGAGATTGGGTTGGAATATATGAAGAATGTGCAAAGTGAGTAACTAGCATTGAAGATTTTTTTATTTTTTTTTTCTTTATTTTATTTGAAGAATGCTATTATTACTTAATAAGCTTTCTTTAATTGGCACCTTGAAGTATTGCAGCCTCTATGACTTATGATGGGCTGTATCCTCACTGTATATGGACTTCTGTTTCAAAGTTCAGAAGGCACACACCTTTGTAAATCTTTTTCTATTAGAATATTTTTTAGCAACAGCTTGAATGCATTATGCAGGAACCTAAAGGACCAAACAGAACCAGGATAGTAAATTGAGTGCTGCTTAGTTTCTAAATTTGTTATCCCAGTATGATTCTTTAAAATGAGGGACTACATTGTTGGTTCAATTTAAGATTTTTATGAAAATCAAAACAAAAAAACAAACTTAGCGAAATTCAGGTAGTTTATGATGTATTTATATAACATTATTAAATTTATATGAAATATAAATAAATATATTGAATGAATATAGTTATATCATGTTATATTTCTTAATTTCATTAAATCTTTGGCTTCATTTTTTATTCAGTTATTGATTTTTTTCCCCTTTCCAAGACTAACCCGCACAGCTTAGTTAGAACCCAAGTGTAACTGAATGGAGGGGTGCCAGTAACAAAAGCCACTTGGTGGATTGCAATTTTCTGTCCTTGCTAAGTCACTCCTTCAGCTGTAATGAGTTGAAAATGCTGTGCCTATTTGTTCATAATCAATCAGATACACAACAAGTAGGATCAGAAGATGATTGAATTTTATAATTCTGCTGTGTACAGCATTATATCCTCAGAGGATTCCATGTATTCATCATCATCATAATGCACAATTTTTTTGCCTTCCTTTTTCATGCTGAAGGAAAGACTGAAACATTTGACTTTTATTTCTTTCATTGTTCTTCTTGTTCTACTTCTATGGATGCGGATACGGGTTATAATGTGTACCCTCAAAAAATAATGGGGCAGGGTCTTTAAATCCTAGCATTTAAGTAATCTAGTTTATATCTGCATAGCCAGTTGGAAGGAAATACTAATTTTACCATGACAGCAGCAGTAATAGGTGGTCTGGACTTCTAACAAAAAAGGGGGAACAAACAATTCAATAGCAGCTATACATATTGGTCCTTCTTTTCAAAATGAAGCTTACAACATTTAGAAGCTTAGAAGAAGATGTAATGACATGAAATTCATAGTTGATTCAATTTAACTCAGTATACGCTACTTGCTAGGGACATTAGTTTGTGAAAATCTGCTCTATCTTACATATATTGCTCCACCTTTTTGTTGGTTACCGGCCACTAATTTTACTGTTGTCTGTCATTGGGATTGACATTAAGGACACCAATGGCTAAATTAGTTCTTCCCTTCATTATGCAATCTCTGGGGAACAGTAATTTGGTTCTCATGTGCATGCATTGGATATAATTAATTTTCTTGCAATTTTTTTAAATCCTGAGAAACCTTTGCCAAAACATAGCTTATATCCCACTTTCTTGTACATTAGTGGTAAGATATATTTTTCTACTAGCTGGTAACTGTTGCAACTTTGGAAATTTCAGGATTTTGTATGAAGAAATTGATTATATAAACGAAGGGAAGAACGCTGATAGATTCCGCCGGGATTTTCGAAATGTGAAATGGGTTCGAGTGCCTGTATGTTACTTGTTAAATGACTGCAATTCTTGTTTTATTTATATTTTATCCTTTCCATTTTCAGATGGTTTCCAATAATTAAATTAGCAACTGATTGCTTGCATTAGACAAAGAAGTTACCATGTCTTCTCCATTTATTCCTGAAATTGAAAAGCTCTACTAAGATGAAAAGATGTACTAAGCTAAGCTGAGTGTGACTTAATTTGTTTTCATAATCACAATGATGGAGTTTTGAAGTTTTTCCCCCCTTTTTGATTCTTTTCTTCTCCCTTATTCTTGTCAACTTGGACTTCTCAATGAATCGTTCATCTTGAACCAAACACATCAAGTCAGACCCTATTTAAAAAAGAAAAGTATGAATATCTACTTGCTGGTTCTTATTTGAAAATCCTTTTTGTTTCTCATTCTGCCATATGTAGCTGGTGATTTGGGATTATACATCGACGAAGGTATTAACACTGGAGTACGTTCCAGGTTTCAATCTCAACCATCATTTCTCATTATGTTGGATAATTTTACTCACAGTGGAAGTTTAAAGAGACGGAATATTAATTTTGAAACTGAGCAGGTATCAAGATAAATCGGCTGGATACGATAGATGCACGGGGTTACAGTCGATCTCAAATTTCTTCACGTGCTATTGAAGCATATTTAATTCAGGTGAATAACCCTAGTTACTTTGGTGAAATTAAACCATGTGGCTGGTCACTAGTCTAGCACAGTGAGATTTACTTTTAACTGATAGTTTGGCTGCATCTACAACTTCAGATCCTGAAAACTGGTTTCTTTCATGCTGATCCTCATCCTGGAAATCTTGCTATTGACGTGGATGAATCTCTTATTTATTATGATTTTGGTATGATGGGGGAGATCAAGTCTTTCACGCGGCAGAGATTACTGGATTTATTTTATGCAGTTTATGAGAAAGATGCAAAGAAGGTCTGCCTTTTTTCTGATTATTTACTTCAGCATTTGTTGGAACAGTTTGCTAATCAGTAGACCTAAGCAATCCCCAAAAAAGGCATAGATTTATCCATCCTTAACAAGATATACACTTCACTGTGAAAACTTAATAAAACATTGATAACAGTGCCTAACAATGTAGCTTTCTGGCTTCCATGCAAAAATTTGATCTGCCAATTGAAGTACATCATTAGTTTAACTTATCAACTAATTACTGTGCAGGTTATGCGGAGTCTCATAGATCTTGGAGCTCTTCAGCCCACAGGAGACCTTTCATCAGTATGTTAGCTTGTATACACCAGCAAACATGCCAAATGGAAAACTTCTACTCTTTTTAACATACGTTATGGGAATCCTTGCTGTAAATTCTAACTATCTTTTTGTATTCCTAGGTTAGGAGATCTGTGCAATTTTTCTTGGACAATTTGTTGAGCCAAACACCAGACCAACAACAGACTTTGGCTGCAATTGGTGAGGTATGTATCTCATCCTTATATGGGCAAACTTAGTTCTCCAGTAATTTCTCATATATTTTTAGCATGCATATTTTTCTCGAATGTCATAGATGGTAAATTGGAAGAAAAGAAATTGCCAACATTACTGGAAAAGAAGCATCATTTCAGGAATTATTGGAACTATTGCCATACCAGTTTATGGTGACAGATAAATGTTTTATCTACTTGCTTTGGAACCAGTTATCACCACCCAAAAACTCCCAAGGAAAGAAAGAGTAAAGATGCATTGAACCTCTTACTTGTATATCAATAGTTCTTATGGTTATAGAGTTCTGAAATCATGGAAATTTATGACTTAATTATTAGCTAGAAAGGTTGTGATGGTAAACTGCATTTGAATGAAGATGCTGGAGATTTATGGCATAATTCCCATTATATATATTAAAACTGATAACATGCCAAATGTCATTAGATGCATCACATTAAGAAATTACTGGATTACCAAAAGAAACAAGGTATAGAATTATAAATCATCTTAGCCTCCTCATATTATTCTTTGCTTGCAAGAAAACACCATTTCAAGAGCTCCCCCGTTCAATCATGAATCATATTGTTCACCAATTACCATAATTGTTCAACTTAATATGTATATCATCAGACAACTGCAAGGTTTTTGTTAGATTCCTTTTCAAATGGCATTTTAGTGATAGAATCAGTAAAATACAACGAACCTATTTGCAGGATTTGTTTGCAATAGCACAAGATCAGCCCTTCAGATTCCCATCCACCTTTACCTTTGTGTTAAGGGCATTTTCCACTCTTGAAGGTTCTCTCTCTCTCTCTCTCTCTCTCTCTCTGTGCACACACGTTTATTTTGCTGTAGATTTTGGATCCTGTGTTACTAAGATTAGTAGCTGAATATCAAGTGGTTTTATTAGATAATTGATTTTATACTTTGTGCTCAATAGTTTCTGACTACATATAGATACCATCGGCAGGATCCAAGCTATTGTCCAATATTTGACCTTTTCCATTGGCTGGCTAAGGGACACAAAAATACTGAGGATCTAAGATAAAGGAGCAAAATAGTGTCAGATCTACTGTTTTCTTTGTGGCTGGCTTAAAGTCATGGAGAGAATGAGGTTTAACATGAATGCGTTCCATTGACCAATTAAATACCAAGCAAGTTGAAAGTAAAAAAATAAAAGTTTATCAGACAAGCGAAACCAAATGCATTGAAATAGCAAGTCATTATCCAATAAGACAATGATTAGTTCACTGATAGGAGTATTCCTTTTCCCCTTTTGGCTTAGATGTGATGGTAGCTGGTATGATATTTGACAACGGCTCACCTATGTTGCCTCTCCAAATTGTTTGAAGTGAGATGTAGTCTGATTTGATATTTGCGTTGCTGTTCAGGCATTGGCTACACACTAGATCCTGATTTCTCCTTTGTAAAGATTGCTGCACCTTATGCCCAGGTACTGTAATTGTCCTTGAAATGTATGAAGCATGGAAAAGGAAAAATATGTAATATAACACCTTGGGATTCCTTCAAGGTATCGTTCTAAAATGGTTCAAACACTTTCAGGAGTTGTTGGATTTAAAGCAGAAGCAGCGCACTGGAACTCAACTTGTTCAAGAAATAAGGAAACAAGCTGATGATGTATTGCCCACGTCTCTCCCTTTTTAGTTCCATTTTTTTTTTTTTCCTTTTCTTAAATTTGACAACATTTGCTAGTTTGATGGTATCTCCGTCTCTCTCTCTCTCTCTCTCTCTCTCTCTCTCCTCCCCCCCTAATGAGATAAAGCTATCTGTAACAAAATTTTAGATTTATTTCTTTTAATACATGAATTTCAGGCTAGAACATACACCATGTCCATGCCATACCGAATCCAACGGATAGAAGAGTTTGTGAAACAGCTTGAGGGAGGAGACTTGAAACTCCGAGTCCGTGTGCTCGAGGTATTCGATGCCGTCAAACTTTGTGTAAACTAGTTAGCCGCTTCTATAAAGACTTGCAATCTTAACTTTTTTGCATTGCAATAGGGGATTTGATCAATCGATGGCCCTCAAATCTACTGCCTATTTTTTTTTTAAAGAGTAGAACCAATTGACCATGTGCTGTGTGTTCATACTTAAAATCTGTTGTTTTCTTTATTAATACTCTCTACTTATTATTGCATGAACAATGTTCTTCAGTCTGAAAGAGCAGCTAGGAAAGCAACAATACTGCAAATGGCAACCATGTACACAGTCCTAGGCGGCACCCTTCTAAACCTTGGGGTTACATTTACCTACCACGGCCCTCAAGTTATAGCAAATGGATCATTTGTTGGTGCAGGTTATCCCTGAAATTCTATTTTCTCTACGGTTCCTCATCATAATATTTACCTATTTGAATTTTGTTTTGAGAACAGTTTTAGGATTTTGGAAATAAAAAACCCATCTGGAAGGTTATTTCAGAAAATTATTTTTGAAAGAATTATTAACAAGAGGCCCCTTTTCAGAAAGGACCAAAAGGAAGTTTTTCAGAATTCTTAGAAACTGTCGTCTCTTGAAGATGAAAACAACAAAGTTTTCAAGATTTCCTTGTTTTTCTGAATTTGAAAACATAAAATGAAAATTGAGAACAGAATCCATCTCGACACATGGCAACTGGAGGGAAAAACACTCCAGCTTTGAACCCTTTTGTGCATCTAACACTCCTCAAAATGCAGGTGTTTTTCTGCTGCTGTTTCTCCGCTCCATGCAGAGGGTGAAGAAGCTTGATAAATTTGAGAAAATGATATAATAAATATATCCCAATCTTTTTTTTTTCTTTTTTATTTCACTTCTTCCCTTTTTCTTATACATTTATTGTGGGGGCGTGGATGGGGTGGGGAGTTGCCGGAATTGGAGACCTTGTACAATAGCAATTGATCTGTGCAGGAAAACAATTATTTGGAGTAGGCTGGTTACTTCTATACAGCTGAGAAATTACACAGTTGAAAAAATATTCATCATCAGGTTCATTGAAACAGCGGAGAAATACATGCAGACTTGAAAAAGAAAATAATAATTCTATGGACTGAGCTTGCAGCTATGGTTTATTATGGTTCTGAGCTCTGATACCAAATTGGTTGAAAAGGTGATGACGGCGATTTGTTCAAAGGTCAATACATGAAGATGTTCATCTGACAAGGAGGGCAAAATATCAATTTCAGACGTAAGAGGATGTCCTATTGTGATTTTTAAGGTAGCATAAATATAATAAAATATTGTCCCAAATAGGCAAATAAAGGCATAAATAGAACAAAAAAAATAAGATACACGGAAACACATATAATAAGATTTCAAGTTGGCCCGACAGAGTGATATAGCAAAACAAAATTAAGTATTTATAAATACAGTCCTACAAATCAATAAAGGTAGACTTCTATTTCAATGCACATAGTTGTAGGAATCAAACGCACTACTAAATTGTATGATTTTAATAGTCTGTTTTTTTAAAAAATAATTTTCTTAAGACTTGAAAATTAAAATTTTATTTTATAAGGGACTTCTTTTACAATTTTTCTTTTCTTTGTTTTTAACCTCTTATTCAAACTTCCTATTGTAAGATTTAGTTATTTTATAAAACAGAAAGTTTCCTAACTTGAAAAACACTCTTTTTTATGGTTATATATATATATATATATATAACACGAACAGAATATAAAATTTCTTTTTTTTTTGTTGGTGGAAAGCAATGACGCAATAAAAGAAGTCAATAGAGATCCGCAAATTGGACTGTGGCCTGGCCACCCGAGGGAGGTGCTCACATGTGAAAGAAAATGTCAAAGAAGCAACTTCAGCGGCCTATTAAGAAACTTATTTAAAACCCACTCACAGAAGCCACTTATGACTTGACATTGTGGTTGTTGTTGCCATTGGGCTTTTGACTTGTTGTGAAGTGAACTACCACTGACTTGGAGTAGGTGGATTCACGGCAATGTTCATAAAGGAGAATTTTATTACTAATAAATGCATCAAAGGTACACCATCAGCCATCAGGCCCATGTTCTACTCAAAGTTCTATTTAGTTCTCCTAATTTTTAATTACAACACACTTTGACTTTATATTTTGTATTACATCTTCAAATTGGATAATCAATAATAACCACTGGCCACTATTTTAAGGGCAATCAACAATTACAAACCTTCAATTATCTCTAACATCTCATTTGCCCTTCAATTGTAGTTCGAGTCTTTAGATTTATTTGATACCCTTTTTAAGAATAAGGCATTTTTCTCTTATATTGAGGTGAATCTTGTACTTCACTATACATATGTAAATGACACTTCATTATAAGAAAAGAAAATACTATCTTTAAAAACTAATTATTAGTCAAATTATTCTTTTGCCGTTCCTAAACTTCTCTAGAATGGGTTTTTGATAACTCCTAGAAAGCTCACAGGAATTATGCATAACTTTACCATTAAAGAAATAAACTGCTATGTTTCATTAGAAATACGTGGCCAAATAAAACTCTTGAGAAAACTATAAAATTTTTTAAGTTATCTTATACTCTTCGTGTTTATTTTGAACATTTTCTTGTTTAAATAAAATTTCTTATTATTTGTAATGACCCATTTTCTGAAAAATTTTAAGGTGGAGGACCAAATTGCAAGAATCAAAATCTGTGGGGATTAAATTGAAAATATCACAGGGACCAGATTGTGAGGAACTAAGAGCCGAAGGGCTGGGTTGCAATTTGACAGAAAATTCTGTCAAGAACAGTACCCGATTACTGTATCTCCCTTACCGTGATGATGAGGAGTTGGTAGGCCGATTGAATCGAGCATTTATGCTCGTCTTTGTCCGATGAACGGAAGCCCTCAAGCTATTTGGCATTTTGGAGAGAGATTGGAGAGAATTTTGAGGTTCTTGCCGAACTGGGTTCACGGATGGCCGATCGGTTTTCTCAAATTCTGAGGTGTTTGGATCGATCCAGTCCGATTAGCTGCTTCATTGAGGGTCGCCGGGGTGGAATCCGTGGTTTCGGGAGGTCGTTTGGTCCAGGTAAGCATCCAAATCCGAGTATTTTGAGGTTGGGTGTGTCGGGTCGCATTACAGACCCGGTTGTGCGAGTCGGGTCGGGGGGCGGGTGAAGAAGACGGACCCGGTTGCATCCGGGTCCGTGCTGAGCTGAATCGGCCGAGTCGACTCGGCTCACCGGGTTGACTCGGCCAGCTTGTGTGGGCTGGGCCTGGGCCAGTTGGGCCCGGGCCAGCCCGATTGGTGATTGGGCCACGGGCCCGCAGGCTTGGCCTGCGGGCCAGAAAAAAAAAAGAGAAGGGTGTTGGGCTGGGCCGGCCCAGTGAGTGGCTGGCCCAGGCGGGTCCGAGCCGCGGCTGAGCTGAGCCGAGCCGCTGGGCTGGCGGCTCAAGCCAAGCTGCGGCTCAAGCAAAACAAAAAAAAAAAAAAAAAAAAAAAAAAAGGAAAGGGGTTTGACCGAACCAGCCGGGACTTTGACTGGCCATTTTGGCTTGGTTTGGGAGGTTGGACCGGTTCTGAGTTCAGGGGGATGAGGGCTATCAGACCAAGTGGGTTCGGAAAATTTTGGGCGCCCGGTTCGAGGTGAACCGGTCTCGATTTGCGTGCCGATACTTAGGATTAGGGTTTTTGGCCCAGTTCGGAGCTAGTTTGAGCCATTTTGGCCGGTTCATAGTGGTTCCTAGGGTTTTTGGGCCTTCTGAATCCGATTTTGAGGGTTTCGTGGCCGTTTGAGTTGAGTTGGAGATAGTTTTAGATCGGGCTAAACCGGTTCGTGGGTTTTGGAGATCGGTTCGTTGCGGTTTCGAGTTTTGTGGAGGCTGGCTCCGTAGTTTTGAGGGTGGTTTAGTAGATTTGTTCAGTGTTAGTGAGTCGCGTAGGTTCTGGTGACAGGTCGGGTTGCCTCGAGATGCGTGCCCGGGGGCCGGTTTGGGATTTTAGTTCAGTTTGAGGCTACCGAGCCTGTTTCTTGTGCCGGTTTTGGCGTTGGTGATGGTTTTGTGTGATTTTGATTGCAGATTCGCAGGCAGGGGCACACTCGGATCACTGAGTCGGGTTAGGTGACTCGGGACTCTCGTTTTGGCTTAGCGTCTGTACTGTGAGTGATGATACCCTTTCTATGCTTGTGTTTTCATACTGTGATTTCTGATATGATGATTTTGTGGGTTGAAACTTGTGTTTTGATTATATGTTACTCGGGTTATGTGCTACGTGTTTGTGAACTGTTGGGAAGTCGTATCGGTATGTGATTTTGGTTTTTGAGACATGGACTGTATATGGGCTGTATATCTGTTTGACTTGGATGTGAGGGTGGTGTGCTGTGACGGGATTTGTGGACGGCAGGAACTCGGCTAGAGTACGGTGATCCGTAGCGTCCAGTAGGTGAGTCGGTCTGAGTCCGTGAGGGGACGGCAGAGACTCGGCTGGAGTGCGGTGACCGTAGCGTCTAGTGTGGGGTAGGCCTGAGTCCAGTGATGTGATTTGATGTTGGCTGATAGCATTCTTGAGTGTATGTTGATATGTTTTACTGATCGCTGTATGCTTAAAGTTTTAGACTTGTGCTATGATATGTATCTTGACATGCATAGATTAGGTATCATCCGTACTCACTGAGTTTCGCGACTCATAGTTTTAAACATTCCAGATTCTTTTGACTGTACTCGCCTCGGTTAGCGTGCCACGTGGGAGTCGACGACAGCGGACTTGATGGATGTACGGACATTTCTCTTTTGTACTTTACCTGATTGTATTCTAGAGTAGCTTCCTTGTACTCTCAGACAGGATCCCGGGTAGTTTTTGGATGTTATATTATTACACTTTGTGTATGTTTTATATATTTGGAGTTTGACTAGTTTTGTTGAGGCTTACTAGGGTTGGTGGATCCCAATGCCGTCACGGGCCCGGGGTTCGGGGCGTGACATTATTATAATATTTTTTAAAAAAATATATTATCTCTCACAATTAAAAAATTTTAAATTTTTTATTGGGTAAAATATATAAGATTCAAAATTTACATAATTTGTTACATTTGATTTATTTACACTAATTTTGTCCAACAAACACTTGTCAAGAGTGTACCATATATTCAAGTGAAAGTGATTGATGTGTGGTGGGTCCAATATTACTGCGGATGCCCATTAGTAAATAAATGTCTAATTGATGCTAGAATAACTTAATTAAAAAATCAACGGTTTTAAATATGATTTCAAATTTAACATGATTTAGTACACAAGACTATGATACGAATTTGTATTTAATTGAATTTTTGTATTACAAATGATGAATTTATTGGGAAAAAAAACCTTTTTCCATCTCAATTATTTTTAGGAAGTGGTTAGATATACGAGTCTGTCAACTTGGACTTAAAAGAGTGATTCGAATACCAAAAAAAATAAAAAAAAAAAATCAGACTCAAACTGTGCTGAATTGACACTTTGCTTCTTTGAAATATCTCTTTAGTCCCAAATTTCCTGTTAATTGAACTTTCCCACCAGCCTCCATTTTCATAACTATTTTGACTATATTTACTTCTCACTTAATAAATAAAATAAAAGGCTAATTTGACGGCATTCCATAGAGGACTTGCTGCAATTTTAATTACAAATAGAATTTATTTTTTGCTTAAAGAAATCTGAGTTTACTACTAAACGGATCCAGTCAATAAAGGCCACCCATGACTTTTGAACGGTTAGTAGTTACTTACGGAATTGGGCACACGACTTTTGACTTAAATAAAAAGCTTTGGCATCCGGATAGCACCCTGCCCTAGCCGT